GAAAGATAACACCACACGGGCCATCATGGGTGCATCAAAAGGCTGTACCGACCATGTTGCTCTCCACTGATGCTGAAAAGGCGTTTGACCGCGTTGATTGGACTTTTATGACTACAGTTCTTACTCACCTAGGGGTGGGTGCCAGCTTTCTTAAGTGGATATCCGCTATTTATTCAAGACCAACAGCCACGGTTAAAATAAATGGATCCTTGTCAGAACCTTTTGAACTGTGAAATGGTAGAAAAGCAGGGTTGCCCCCTGTTGCCGCTTATTTTTCATTTTGACCCTGAAGCCTCTGTTATGCCGTATTAGAGATAATCCCAACAGCAAGGGAATCTGTATGCCTCAGGGCAAACATAAAGTTGTGGGCTACGCCGATGATCTGCTGTTCTTCATTACACACCTACCACTTCCCTCCCCAATCTCCTTACTTAATTCAGGGAATTTGCCATCCTTTCAAACTTTAAAATCAACTGGCAAAAAATTGGAAGCTATGAACCTCACTTTGCCACAGTCAACCTGTACAGCACTGCAAGCCCACTTTCCTTTCAAGTGGACCCCGTACCACTTGAAATATTTAGGAATCTTCCTCACTCTCAAGATGGAGGATATTTTCTCTGCAAATTTTGCTCCATTCCTAGTGCAAGTCAAGAAGCACTGTGTTGGTCAACAAAACTCCTGTCCTGGTTTGGTAGGAATAGCGCACTTAAAATGACCACCCTCCCCTGACTTCTGTACCTCTTTCAGACCCTGCCGATATTGATCCCGGGATCCTTCCTCAAACAACTCAGAACTGAATTTGGGAAATTTCTGTGGGCAGGCAAAGCACATAGGTTAAATTATCACCTCTTGATACGCCCCAAAATTCTAGGAGGCATTGGTCTGCCAGATGTCCACAAGTATTATAGTGGCGTCTCACTTGGCTCACATGAGCTGGTGCTTTCAGGAAGTGGGGAACCGTTGGGAGTGCTTTGAACAGTCCTTCTTAGATTTCCTCTTGGGAGGCCTTCCATGGCTCGCTATCAAGGTACCTCGCCACTTATATGCCCACCCGATGATAGGGGCTACCCTTGCGCTTGCCTTTGATGGTGACGTCTCCTTCTGTCTTAACCCCAGTTATCTCTCATCCTGGCTTTATACCAAGCATGCAGGACAGCTCTTTCCTCTCAAAGTTAGGGCTTTCAGGGTGTGACATTTCCGTGAGGAGGCCGCAGTGGCTCCGTGCAGGCTATTCAAGCAATGTTCAAGCCTCCTTTTCCAGTGTGGAAGGCGCTACAGCTGCGTCACTTCCTAACCTATCACTGGGGAAAGATGCTCTCTCTTCTGCCCCCCATGCAAACTGAATACCTGTGTTTTATCTGAGGACCTGATTCCCCATAGACTTTCCCAGTCACGGCACATTCTAACACATCCATAAAATGTGCCACTTCCAGAGTACCTCCATAAGTGGGAACAAAACCTGTGTACTACTTCCACAGAGCAGCAAAGAGACAGGATCTTACTCATGACTCATAAGGCCTCCATCTCTAGTAAGATTTAGGAGACTGGGTATAAACTCCTAACTAGGTGGTACAGAGTCCCCTTGGCCTTGCATCGACTCTTCCCCAGTGCCCCCCACTCTGTTGGAGATGTTTGGGGAGGAGGGGTCTATGGTTCACATATTTTGGTCCTGTGAGGGCCTTAACAACATTCACCGATATCCAGATGCGGAAAGACTGTGACACTGTGACACTTTCCTGCTGCATTTGACCCCTATGTCCTTGAAACGGTACAAACATTCCCTCTTACTCCATCTGTTGAACATGGCAAAAGCGTGTATCCCACTCTGCTGGAAACAAACCACACCCCTGCCCATCAAGATTTAGTTTGCAAAGGTTAACGAAATCCAACTAATGGAGGTGCTCATGGCTACGATACACCTCAGAGAGGATCAGGTCCGTAAAATATGGTTCTACTGGATGGAATTTACTTTCACTGCTGAATAAAGGGATATCCTGGGTTCCCAAAAGTAAAACTTGGGCCACTCCCTTCGGGTGTCACCATAGATCCCATCAGACTCTCCGATGCCAGTCTCCCTTGGGCAGCACACTCGCTCCCCCTCCCCTTCACCCCTTTTATTTTTGTGCCGCTATATGTCTCATTCAGCTTTTTTTCTCTCTCTTATTCTACCTCTTGAAGAGGTTATGTTATACAAGATATTAGAGTTTAAGTGTGTTGGAGACTTTGGGCTGCAAGAGTGAACCTGATTATGCCTAGATGACCCATCAGTGGTATATTTATTTTGTCTCCTGTCTCTTACTTCTAGCCTAGGCTGTTTTGTTGTCAAGAGAGCCTGCATATATAATCCCTGTATGACATGCAAAATTGATAAAGAATTTAAAAAAAAAGGAAGAGACAAGCAGATTATTTGTTCCTCCCAACTGTATCAAAACAGATAGCTCACTGCTCACATTTCTCTGTCTGCCTATTTTTAACTGCAAAGCTATTGTAGGGTGCCCACTGTTGCCTTGTAACACTTTTTACGGAAAGGCATAACTTTCCAGCAGAAAGAATAAACCTGCTTCTCTTTCAATGCTGTCCTGAGAACACTGGCCTGCTGTTGTCCACTCTTCACAGCATGGCACTCTCTAGCAGTATGTCCCAGTCTATGACAACAAAAGCACCCAATGTGACTGAATCTACCATTCCCAGCCACTTGCTTCCAACTCTCAAGCAAAGCTGGCATAGGAATCCCATCTATTTCCTTTCTAGGGATCCCCATCTTAAGTAAATCAGTCCACATTTGTCTCCTGGAGACCATGAGCCTTGCCTTCCTTTTATCTGATCCAGTTCATTCATCTCTATTTGAGCTGATCAGATTCCCAGCTTCCCACTTATCAGAAGTAACAGTGGCACATGTCCTACTTTTGCTTACAGGCTTAGGGTCTTAGTCCTGTTAGGGCATCATTAGACTTGTTTATGAGGGCTGCACACCACCTACAGTGGTTTGAACACACTTCAAAGCCACTGCTGATTTGACTTTGAGCTCCCTACTTTCTAAATCCCTTACCTTGCTTGCAGTTTTTTCTAAACACTCAGTCGTCACTGGAAGCTGCTCTTTCAGCAAGTCTCTTTCTACTTCTGCCTTTTTTTTTTTCAGATTCAATATTTAGAGCATGCAGGAAGTGCAGACTAAACACAGCAACTGGCAACATCACTCCCCTACTGAACACAAAACTTTTAAGACTAAAATCTGAGGAAAAATCCTCAGATGAGATCTCCATCATCACCCCAAGCTCTGTTCAATGGAATAGCATAAGTAGCAAGCACCCTGCAATAGACATCCTCTGACTGTCTCTGGCCCCAGGCAGGCAGGGTGCACACCTTCTCCTTGTGAACATCAGAAATTTCAGCAGCCTTACTTTTACTAAACAGTGTATGCAGCATCTTTACTCAGCACAAGCAACAGAAAAAACACCACAGAAAACAGATATGTTTCAGTTTAGCTTTAGCACAAATCTGGCCACAAGCCCCCAATTGTTTTGCTTGGCCATTCAAGGTTCTTTTGATAAAAGCCAAGGAAGCTTAGACCTCTGTAATGTATGAACAGTTTTACTAAACAGAAAATCTGCACATATAACTGCAGAAAACACAAATCATAACAAAATATGCCTAAAACATGCACAAGCTGACTATGTGATAGGCATACACTAAAAGTTACTTAACTTAGTTCTTTCTGGCAGTGGAGTCTTCTCACAGTTCCAGGATCTTCCTTCCGTCCAGCACAAAAACATCTATTGCTTCTTCTTTGTCTCCCAGAACCACAGTGTTTGCCTACATGCCTGTTCAAAGGTCTTTGCCTCCCCCTAACTTCCTGTACATCATATCCTCTGCTGAGCTCATAAACCAGTCCGACTGGTTCATTTGTATATCAATAGGGGAGGCTTAGCTTCTAAAACAGCACATTATCTTAAAATCTAATAATTTAATATATATCTAAGCTATAAAAACCACAAAACATCCATAGCATCACACTCACTGATGCTTAATCATAACCCGCTGTATATGCATGCAGGTATGTTATATATTAAGCCAGTAATTAGCGGTCAAAGCTTAAAGCAGGCCATAGATGACGCAGTGTTCTTTCCCGCAACCACGGGTTTCAGGAAAGAAAATCGCTTGGTTCCCCCATTAGTTGTCACCCTAGGACTGGAAATGTGTTATTGGTAGGATTACCAGGGGGAAAATGTCTTAAAGAAAACTAATGCAATCACATCTAGGGATCTGTGGAGCTGTGATAAATCCCTTTTCTGTTTTTTGGCGTAGATATACTTTAAGCATTGATACAAAGTTATTTTCCGTAAAGTAAGAACAGGCTTAAATTGTGATTAATTAAGAAATGACTGTCAATGAGAGATTTAACCTTTTTTTTAACTATAATTTCACAGTTTTTGAGGGAAATGAGATCTGCTAGGCTGAGCACTCATTTAGGGCTTAGGAACCCCTTTCTTCTACTTTTTCTCCTTCACTTGAAGTGGCATATTCATAATGATATTACAAACCCAAACCTCTTCACTTTGTAGAACTATAATATAACGTGCAAGAATGTCCAACTCTTATCTGTCAAATGCCTAACTGCATATGATTAATACTGACCCATTTTCGGTATTATTTTTTGTCATTTTTTTTAACATGGTTGAATTTTCAGCCCTCGCTGTAATGTGCTGAGAATCCTATTTTCTTGGTTTTTACATCTGAAGTAATCATTTTCACTACTCTTAGGCTAGTGAATATGTCCAGTGAAGTTTTTGGTGGAACTTGCATTGTACATATGCATGCATCACTAGACTCAATTCACTGTTTATTTTATAATTATTGCATTGTTGTTAATGCTTTATACATATAGTATTTACTGGAGTTCGTCTGTAATGAGGACATCTATGCATATTTTCAGATATTGTGGCTTACATTATGTTTAAAGATAACTAACAAAGGAAATCTGTTTTAATCTGCAATAAAAGGTACTCCATGTGGTATATCCAAGTCTCCAGGAGGAGAAATATCTTCGAAGAGCTGTACTAAATGTGGCTCTGTTACATGCCGACCGCATGAAAAACAGCTTACTAGATTCTCACAGGAACAGAGAAGAAAATAAGCAAGATATAGCAACTGGTGTGACTGACCACAGAGATGCCTATAAATATTCAGGATGGTCTTTCGGTTTAGAGACTGAAACACAAAGTGAGGAGAATGAACTTACACAACCATTTATCCAAGGGAACACCATTCATATTCCCCTGGAAGCAATCTTCATCATCTCAAAGGTCAAAAAATTGTGTGGGAGTTTAGATGTTCTAAGAAATTTTATTGCAGGAGAAGTCCCTCTTAGTGAAGATGGTAAAACAATAATGTATTCTGTTAATTTGGATGATGTGCAGGAAGTTTAATTATTGGGATTACTTAATACATTTTTTTTACAATACAAGCATTAGAGCTATCTTTCAGATTGCATGGCACATTGGGATTTTCAGTTTTTTTTGTTTTTAAATAATTTTGGATCATTGTAACACTTTATCTATAAAACAGAAGTAGTCCCTCCCTTGATACAATGTCTGTGGTAGGGAAATGCAAATACGATAACAATATACAGAATAATTTGGAGAGGCTCGGTTGCTGTATAGTATTATTGCTTCAATGATGATGATTTATTAAAGGAATTGAAAAAGTTTACACAATTTGTATGAATATTCACTTGAGTTATTCAATCGTGTTCAGATGACATGCCTGACAAGAGTCCTGCACCTCCCCAAAACATTGCACTAGCACTTATTGTCATGTGGTCACTTTAATGAATATCTGGATCATATGATATGAATTCATGATGTGCTGGTGATATATCCTTTCCACTGTGTACTAGGCACCCTCCAGCTTTGCTGTAGTAATAACTCTGCTGACCACTTTCCAATGACAGTGGTGGTGTTTGTGCTGCTCTTTTTTGTTTTTGCACATTTAAATCTTACCTACTGAATGCTAATTTTCTGTCTAACTGCCTACATATCCGTCTGTACATTTACACTTGTAAGAAAATGTTCTTGATCTTGTAAGCATTCAGAATTTTTTATATTCATGAATGGCTCCCAAAAGGGTATGTGATCTTTATCTAAGTAATAATAATGAAAGTCTTTTTTAAAGACACACTTTAACTTCTGCACCTATACTGAACTAAATCCTTAAACACCTATTTGATAGGTTGATGGAAAAGAGAACCTTCAGTATTAAAAAGAACTTTAACCTTCATCAAACACTTTTTATAGCTGCTGAAAATACTTGTTCAACAGTTAGCAGATATTTAACCCATTCTTCTATATCACAGAAGAGGTCAGGATCTGTTATTCTACAACATTACTTTTTTTCTGCCCATCTGCTGTAAATGTACAGAAATAGAGCCATTTGCACCACAGCAATTGGTATTGCTCTTCAAAAATAGGGTATGCAATAGTGTGGATGTGTTTTTTCTGCAAGAACACAGACAGAAACCAGTGTTTTCCCCTGCAGTGCACAGAAACATTGGTGTTTACATGAGTAGGGATGCATACGGCCATTCACTTGTATGGCAAACTATACACTATACCTGGGTGTGGGAAGATGCCAGGAGTCTTACACTAGTGCATTATTTAGCCTCTCACTGTCCGTGTTCATAAGGCCTAATGGCCCTTTCACACAGGTCTGTTGTTTAAAAAGGTTAAAAGGACTGCATTCTTTTCCATTTTGATAGACATAAATGGGTGCTGTTCATGTACATCCATTCTATTTATGTCAGTCTTTTTGCAAAATACATGTATTTTTGTTTATTTTTTATATATGTGCAAAACGGATCTAAGCTGGTGACAAAAATTAATGTACAAAAATGGAACTGAACAAAAGATGAATGTAGAAACTGATGTTATGTGATGTAAATTGATTCAGTATTCAGTTTTTTAATGGATGAACTGACAACATGCACGAAAAAGGGGCCCTAAATTGAACCTTTGGAGGCAGAAATATGAAAACTGCTGTTGCTGACTTACTGTTACAGGGAAAGTCCTATTTGTGAACCTAGTGATTGACTAACCTAATCCTTTCTTCCCTGTCTGCTGAGTTGACAATCTAAAGCAAGCATGCTTGTTCCAGGTCAGTTAGTCACTTGGTAATGAAGTCAGGATGACAACCCCAGAGTCTTTAAAATAATCAGCAATGGCATCTACCATGTTTCTGTCTTTATAAATTAGTTACGAACTTTTGTCATTATTATGCAGTGCAATGCTGAGTTTTTGCATATATCTACACAACATTAATGTAGTAGTGCAGTTTGTGATTCAGGTGGTCTTCAGAAAACTTTTAGATGGGCAGCAAATTTTTCTTTAATGGAGAATAGTGGTTTCTGCAAGATACATTTCTATGAGCTCTACTCTTCTTCGATCTCTTGCTGGATAGTCACTGATGTTATTTGCTTAGGGGTTGTACCCCAAAAAAAAAACCAGCCAATTCAAGGTGAGCCAGATTCATTCATGTCATGCATGTTCACACACATACAGATGATACTGGAATTTTGTTCCTTATTCAGACCTCTTACACATTATTCAGAGCATACTGAGCAGTTTAATGGCCCTAGTATTCAGGAAGTGATTTGTAGGTAGGAGGAATACAACCTTTTGTATAACAGTGCAGATCCTCATGGTTACTTTTTTAAAAACTGCATAGGCCTTGTGTATGTTGTCAGTGTTAAATAAAATTCAGTGTTCGATGTGCATTTCAAACACACTGCAAAGTATACAGTGAAGGTTTCACAGTACTTTAATATAGTAATTCTGTGGGAATATTTTCTAAAGTACAGTAAAAAAATGATTTAAGATTATGTTGATTTGCTAGAAAATGTTACATTTGGAGCAAGTGAACTTTCATCGATTTCTTGGGACACATTTTGGATACTTTAGTTGTCCAAATTTGCACTCACTCCCTTAAAGCAAATGCCACTGTAGTCTCGTAGTTCTCATATCCAGCCATGCAAATGAAATCAACAAACTCCCCGTGCAAAAAATGTAATCACTGTACAAACTCCATTTCAAATGTATATAGTTTTTACCCATTGCTTCTCTGGATAAAATACATGGTGCTGCAACAAACCAAGCAAATGTGAACAGATTTAGAATGACCAGAATACATAAATTAGTTTTGTAAGTTTAATAAAGAATTCTATCCAATTCTGAAAATTCAGTTTTATAGAAAATCTAAAGTATCATATTTTCTAGATCATATCCACCTTTCCATCCATCCTATCATGTAAACTATTATAAAAAGCCTGGCTGGTGGTCGTAAACCAGAGTAACAGCAGCAGAATAAGGTTTGTGTGGCTGTTGTCAACAGGCAGGAATGCTGAGTGTGTTAGTGCCAGCTCCCACTTGTTTACAGCAACCACATAACCTCCACGCTAAAGCTCTGGTATCTTAGACTGGCAGCCATGGCGAGCATGGTAGGTGGATATGACAAGGTTTTATGTTCAAATTACATGATATGACAGTTGGGTTGGGGAGAAAGCTACATTTAAAGCAACCCTATAACCTTGCCCACTCAGGGGAAAGTAACATAGTCTGTTTAAAGCTTACTCCCTATAAACACCTACACAGAGCTCTCTTACTGCTTCTTTTTGCAAGACACCGAGTGCTTATGACTTCATGATGCAGGGCCCTCTGATTCCTCTTGTATTAAATTGTATTGTAACTGTACCGTCTGTCCTTATGTTGTAAAGCACAGCGCAAACTGTTGGCGCTATATAAATCCCGTATAATAAAAATTATGTGGGCCTAATGGCCAATCTGAAGTCCCAGTTCATCTGATGGAGGAGGTGATGTCATTGCTTTTTTTAAGCTGCAACATCAGCAGACATCATGTACTTTGATTGTGGCTGTAATGGATAGTAATGAGAAGCACTGGAGATGTGAGTATAAGGTGGTCAAGGGTAGGGCTTAAATAAACCCAGCAGCATCTGCTCAGTGCTAAAATAGAAGACTAGCCATAGAAATTGGGAGGTGTTGAATGTGCAGAAACTACCTTTCTTCTGAATGGCAATAGAAGAACGAAAGCAAGCTGCTGTATCTAGTGAAAATCAATAGCACTCAGTCCAAAAAAATCCTTTGAGATTGAGTGGCCATCAACCTTTGTGACATAGTAAAATATTTCTGCAGCACTAAAATATAAATAGTTCTGATATGTATAAACCATATATATCATGCATAAAATGACAGTTTGTGATAAATACAGTGAGGAGCAGAAGTATTTGAACACCCTGCGATTTTGCAAGTTCTCCCACTTAGAAATCATGGAGGGGTCTGAAATTCACATTGTAGGTGCATTCCCACTCTGAGAGACAGAATTAAAAAAAAAAAAAAAAATCAGGAAATCACATTGTATGATTTTTAAAGAATTTATTTGTCTTGTACTGCTGAACATAAGTATTTGAACACCTAAGAAACAGCAAGAATTCTGTCTCTCAAAGACCTGTTACTGTGCCTTTAAAAAGTCCACCTCTACTCCACTCATTAATCTAACTTAGTAGCACCTGTCTGAGCTCTTTAAAGACACCTGTCCACCCCACAGTCAGTCAAACGCCAACTACTACCATGGGCAAGACCAAAGAGCTGTCAAAAGACACCAGAGACAAAATTGTGGACCTCCACAAGGCTGGAAAGGGTAACGGGGCAATTGCCAAGCAGCTTGGTGAAAATAGATCAACTGTTGGGAGCAATTGTTCGAAAATGGAAGACTGCCAGTCTCCCTCGGACATGCAAGATCTCACCTTGTGGGGTATCACTGATGATAAGAAAGGTGAGGAATCGGCCCAGAACTACAAGGGAGGAGCTAGTCAATGACATGAAGAGAGCTGGGACCACAGTTTCAAAGGTCACTGTCGGTAGAACACTACGCCGTCATGGTTTCAAATCATGCATTGCAAGGAAGGTTCCCCTGCTCAAGTCATCACATGTTCAGGCCCGTCTGAAGTTTGCCAGTGACCATCTGGATGATCCAGAGGAGGCATGGGAGAAAGTCATGTGGTCAGATGAGACCAAAGCAGAACATTTTGGTCTAAACTTCACTCATGTTTGGAGGAAAAAAAAGGATGAGTTGCATCCCAAGAACACCATCCCTACTGTGAAGCATGGGGGTGGTAACATCATGCTTTGGGGGTGCTTTTCTGTGAAGAGGGACAGGACGACTGCACTGTATTAAGGAGAGGATGAATGGGGCCATTTATTGTGAGTATTTGAGCAACAACCTCCTTCCCAAAGTCAGAGCATTGAAGATGGGTTGTGGCTGGGTCTTCCAACATGACAATGACCCGAAGCACACAGCCAGGATAACCAAGGAGTGGCTCCGTAAGAAGCATATCAAGGTTCTGGAGTGGCCAGTCTCC